CACTTTTATAAAATTCTCAAAGGGGTCAATGACTGCCCCCAAATCGATAAGCATCACATTAGAATTATTTGAGTAATCAATAAATAACTACTTTGGAAAGCAGAGAGGCATCTTTTTAGTCTGTTCAGGCCAGCTAGAGTATTTCCCCCACTCCCCCAAAAGGCCACCAGTTCCCATGAGGCCAGGAGTTGGTGGCTTCTAAGAAGGTTTGGGACGTTATTCTATCACAGGTAACAAAGCAGGCCTTTAACAATTAGTCTAGGTATACCTAACTTTTTCTTCAAGAGTAGACCACATAATTAAAATCTACATGAATGGAGAGTGAACTAGAAACACACATTTTAGACAGTCTTATCTATTTTGCTTTTATATTGTTCCAGTTTTGTGATATACTTGGATTAAGATAAGGCTTTTAAAAAATGATTTTGTGTTTTATTCCTCAAAAAATAATGCTTTTACTCATATGAACTGATGAATCCCTTATAAGACATGTTCTACATAGCTCCTCTTATAATAACCAGTGGAACTCTCCAGAACCATAGGTTGGGACCACTGCTTTCTACCAGTGAAATCAGTAAGAGGGAAGAGAACAGGCATGTGAAGTTTAAATATAATAGAGAATCCTGTGTTGAAAACAAACATTCCAGCGGTACCTCGGTTTTCTAAAGTCTCTGTTGAGGGACATTTCGGTTTATGAACACTGTAAACCCGGAGGGAAATGCTTTGGTTTTCGAACACGCCTCGGAAGTCGAACATGCCACACAGCTTCTGCTGAGGGCAAGATCCTGAGGCCCAGCTGTTGGCTGCTGATCCCTCAGTTTTCCAACGTTTCAGAACTTGAACGGGCTTTCTGAACAGATTGCATTTGAAAGCCGAGGTACCACTGTATTACAGCTGATTTTTTGAAAACTTCTTAGTTGGCATGAATGAGCAGCAAAGACATCATCTGTATAGCTCTACTGGTCAAGGCGACTTTCAGAATTTCCAAGGAAATGAAGCATGAGTTTTTTACTTTCTTAAAACTGGGTATGGGCTGTGGAAATACCACCCCACACTTCCATCAGCTTTTCATTTCCCTTCTCTTTATCCTAGGACTGCCAAATGCTTTATATTTTCTAACACTTCTGACATTTTGGTTAGTATTTAATGATATCTTAAAAATAATATCCCCCTTTTTTCTCGATGCCCAAAGAAATGTATTCTCATTCATCCTATATTACTTTTTCCTCTAGTAATAAAATTTTTTAGATGATAAAGTGTTCATTAGAATGCACCCCTGGTCAATGAAAGGTTACTATCAGTTGTTTATAAGGAGTCCTATGTTTTGAAAGATTTTCACATGAGGTAAAAGCATTTTTTAATGTACTACAAAATCTGTATTAAAAGATCTGCCTTGGTGACTATTTGAGTAATGTACCTGAATTGACAGAATAGAACACTTCTGAAGTCCTCCGAAATCTAATTCAGGCCTAAGCATTTTTTGGATCCTTGCTCTTTCTAATTGGACTCCTGTTTATTCAGTCTTTACCAGAATGCTCCCCAGCTTAAACCCAACTTTATTTTAGAATTTTCAATTACTTTCATTCTGTATGTGGTAGATAATAGTGATTAAAACAAAGGTCTAGAGTAAGACAGCCCTGATTTGAATTTCAAATTTGCTATTAATAGCTACATAAATTTGGGCAACTTAAGTTCTCTAAGACCTAGTTTCTGGTAAAACTGAGAGAATTTATTGTACCTACAACTCATGCTGGTTGTAAAGAAAAATGTTACGCATAGTGCCTGACACAGTGAGTGCTCAATAGAAGTTAGTGACTATGATAACAATAGTGATTTTTCTGTTTCTATAGCCTTTTATTTTCACTGCCTCCCTGCCTCTACCGTCTGCAATCACTTTTCAAGCTTGATGAGGGTGGGAGTAATATAAAAACTAAAACCTCACAGTAGGACGACTAATCCAGGAAAGTAAAACTCACTCCATTCCCTCCTTTTAATATAAATGGTCATGAGTCATCCCTGGTCATTTGTGTATCAAGTTAAATAATAAAGCACAGAAGCAGAAGAAAAGAAATTAGTATGAATACACATATTTCTTTGGTAGCAAGAACATACTGGATGTAAGCAAGCCATAGGAAGATATGAGAAAGAACAAAAAGTTGGGAAAACAACAACTAGAAGAAGGCAGAAGGCAGCAGTCAGTGATCTACAAGAGCAAGAAAAATATAAAGACTGGAAGGAGAATTTTAGGCAAAAGGATTAATGTAGATCTATTTAGTAAAGAGTATATTTTAAGCTGAGAGAGAAATGGGATTTGCTTAAGCAGAGTAGCTTGAACGGCTACAAACAAAAAGAGCAACACATTCCATACAGTAGTAAGTAGTAGTATACATGAGTAAGCTAAAAAATTTTTTACAAACTAGCAGTATGAAGAGGTATCTGCAAGGTTGGGCTAACCAACCAAAAATAACACAGAAATGTGCATGTTAACATTTATGTGGATAGCTATATTTATTTGTCCAAAAAATAGTGTAGGGGCATTAAAAGAAAAATCTATTCAATTGTCAACATGGGCCATTACTAAGGCCTGCCCCTTTAAAGATTTCATTTGTAGACAAATGAAAACTCATTAGTTTGCTTAGTTTTCTAAGCTTCACAGTTGAAATTTCATGATAATTTCCTTTCCTATCTAATAAAACATTTCCCCAAGCTAGAATTACTTTTTTTTTTTTTTAACAGAGGTGTCTTACTGGAATCTATTAACAAAAATAAATTTTAAAGTAAAAAATAGTATAATTTAAAAATCAATGGGAATAATGTAGACTCAAAAGTTCCACACCTCTATTGGGTTATATTTTTCCCCAAGTCAATAAGAGCCAAATGAAAAAAATAGCTTGTTTAAAATTATGTCTAACAGTTTACAAGTTGCTGAAATTTAATGTGTATTCAGACTCGAATGCTGCTTACAAAAGAAAGTCTGTAAATGTCACCTAAATTAGCACCAGTCTGGTGAGAGAAAAAAAGTGTATTGTATCAAACAGACTTGCTGTGTTATCTGTTCAAACATACCTGTACCAGTCAAAAGTCCAGCACTCTTCTTTCGTGCATAAGCGCGTAAGTGGTTGGACAGGCTAACAGCACTTGTAAACGCCGTATTGCAATGCACACATGTTCTAAGCTTCACAGGCATACCTATCATTCAAAAGAAAACTATAATCCAGTTCTCACTTCAAAAAGTGAAATTTTCTTAGCTAAAAGTGTGAAGAAAAGTACCACAATATGGATGGTTTAAAAAGCATTCACTGAATTAGCTTAACTTAAGAAGGGGAAATTCAGTTAATTATTATTAGTTTGTAGTTAGTATTTAGAGCCAACCCATGCTCTTAGGAAAGGTGGGAGAGAAGTGTCTTGAACCTTGGAACTCCTTTAGATTTAACACCTATTATCACTTTCTTGCAGATTTCTGTGTTACGCAGATCATTTCCTAAATCTAAAATACAATCCTGTGATTTGGATAGCACAGCTCTGTTGAGAAGTTTCAAAGCTCACATTATCCATAAAAAAGAATGAAAAGTCTAGTTAACAAAGTGGTAATTAAAGTGTTTTACCCACAAAACCGTAAAAGGCTCAATACTAAATTAGGCTTTCCGATGACGGCTGGGTGAAAAAGTGGTAAAACCCATCACTGAACAGCTGTTAAGACACAACATTTTATTCTGGGCATTATATGTTCATTGCTTTGCACAATGAATAATGAAAGTTAGTGACTTGAAGTTTTTTGCTAAATTCTTTGTGCTAAATAAATGATCAACAAACTAACATCTTAGTTACCACAGAAAAGAAAGCATGTTGAAACAATAAGAAACCCCTAACTTCTCAGACAACCCTCACTCCCCTAACAGGCTTCAACTGATGTCTTCAACATTGTGATAGTCAAAAATATGCTTTATTTCTCTGAAGTGTACTACACCTTGGTCAGTACAGCTAACAGAAGCCCATACAAGATATACTGTTTTTCAAATCACTTAGAGTGCAAGGTAATCTTTCCTTAAATAAAAACTATCTTACAAATATTTGGGATGTCCCAACGTCTGCCTGAAGTAAACAAATCAACATTGCTGTAATTTTATTAAGTATTAATCCACTGTCCAACTTTTAGCTTAGACACATTAAGCTCAGGGTTAAAATTACGAGACCATCTAAGTTAATCTTCAACATTCTTAACCTCCAAAAGTAACTGATAACGGCACTTAAAATATTTCTTGTCTAAAACCATAAACCAAACTTAGCAATACCAAATGAAGTTTGGCTACTTTATCTACCACATCATTTGTCAATACATAAAAAATACTCCATTGAAAAGGAAAAACTATTGGTGCACAAGCACTAAGCTAAACCATCTGTCCTGTTCCATTAGAACACTATTGTAAAAACTAAAACCCCAAACAAATGTTTCATATTCACAACAGTTCTCCAAACCCAAACTATGCCAAGATACAATGAGGAATTGGAAAGGGAGAAGTTTCTTTCAGTTCATCACAACATATAACAGACACCAACCCATTTAGTTGAGTTTGCTTTGTTTTACCTAAGCAATAGGAAAACCAACAGCTAATTCTTGAAAACATCATTACTCTGCAGCACTGGCAAAAATATGACAAGTTTTGCCTTTTGGGTAATGCTATGCTTTGGAACAACATCAACCTCCCATCCACAGAACCATCCCCCAGTCACAGCAAATTTTATTTTTACAGATCAGCTTTTTGTTTGTTTTTGCTTTTGTTCTCACCTTACATTTTGACCAAGAAATGAGGCACAAAGAATTCAGTGCTGGTGAGCATCAACTGATGATTTTTATAGAAGTGACAGTACAACCAATCTCTGCTCTGCAAAAAAAAGCATCTTAAAAAGATTCTAAGAAAATATTTTCTACAAATATTCCAATAAAATGAGCATAATTGAATTGCTTAAATTACATAAGATAGTCATAAATGTCCTCTTACCTGAGTGCATAGTCAAGTCCATTTTTTGTGGATGATACATCAATGAACTATCTTCATTTAATGGAAGAACACATTTCTGAACAAATCTCTTTCTTGCAGTTTGATTATGGATCTTTTGAGGAAAGATAGCAGAATTCCTTTCTTCTCCCATCCTTTTATTTTTAAGCAGTTCTATCAATGTAAGAGACTGATTCTTTCTTCCACTGGGCAGTTCTGGTTTTGTTTCATCATATTCATTTAGGAAACTCAGCCCTTCTTCCTCTGATGCAGATACTGATAAAGCTTCAGTCTTTAGGCCATTACGGTATGCTTCAAGAGGTATAACATTATGAGACAGAAAGTCATCACTTGATGCAAGTTTTTGAGCTACAAATGGTCTGGGAATAATACGACGATTGTTCAATGCCTTTAAGATTTTTTCATATTTTTCTTCATTTTGCATCATCTCATTCAGAACACAGATTGGAGATTTGTGAGCATCCCACTTGGTCTTTCCAAGTCTTTTCAGGTGGCCTCTAACATGATTTGATAATCCAATTTTAGTATCAAACCAACCACCACAGAGCTGACAAGTGTGTTCAGAAGTGGTTTCAGACTTCTCTATAGCTAAAAAAAATTTTTTAAGAGTGATATCAGAATTTTTTATAAACTGACCATCTTAAAGCCAATTAACTCTGAAATATGAAATTATGTGATGCTAATAAAGACTGAATTTGAGCAAAACTTTCAAATCCTTTGAATTTGAATACAGACATATTAGCCCAAAGTATCTACAGAAAACTTACCTTTTCTAACTCGCTTAACAGGTGTCCCTGTGCCAGTTCTTTTGAAATGTTGCATTTTGTCACTGGTGGCTATTTGTTCTGGTGATACAACATGACGGGCTTCATAGCTTAATCCTGCCCTATGAAGATGTCCCCGGACATGATTTGACAACCCAACACCAGTTTCAAATGTTGCTGGGCAGTAAGGACATGATTTCTTCTCAAGAGACAAATCAGTCCAATGAAAAACAGAACTATGCTTTGACAATGAACTGTCTGCATTTTCTAAATGCTGAGGATCATGTATGTCATGCAAAAAGTTATTGGTTCCAGCATCTTCAAAATATTCAAAATAAAAGCCATCATTTTGATCATAACTAAGGGTAGTATTTTCTCCAGGTTCTTGACCTTCCACCTTGCTTTTAAATAGAGGGAATAAATTTACATGTTCTTGATTAATATCATTATAGGTTTCATCTTCTATAGCCTGTGTAGTGTAGTCACCTAGCTCAACGTTATCCCAGGAACTTTCATCTTCTGTTTCATAGCTATCTTTCTTTTCAGCAGAATTAAGTTTCTGTAAAACAACAACAGTCATTTTATGCAAGAAATCTGGATAGCTATCCAAGTCTTCCCCTCCAGCAGAACTTTCCTTCTTAGATTGTTTAACTGCTCTCTTTACAGATACACGCCTGCGGTCTTTGAAGTTTTCTGGCCTTTTGGTGTCAGAGCTGTGAGAGTCCGAAATAAAACTATTGTTGTGAGAATTACTTGATGATGAAAACAGATGTAAAGAATTTAATGAACCAGCTTCTTCTTTTTTGAAATGCAGAGGATATGATTCACCTGATTTTTTGATCATCCTGTAGTTTGCATATTTGTGTCTATATAAATAGTTGCTATTTGCCTTGGCATTAGATTTTTCTTTTGCTGCTTGATGGAAATACTTAGGTTTTTGGTCAATGCTGCTTTTAATGATTACAGTCTTATGAGAATTGTTTTGATTGCACACGTTCACAACACCTGACTGGGCGATGCTTTTCCGAGCTTTTTGTATCCTGTGTGGCCGCTTGTGGAATTTTGAAAAATTACTTGATTGTGAGGATGACCCATATGTTCTCTTTACATCTTGTTTTAAAGCAGAGTTCTTTGGAAATGTGGTTGACTGTTGCTTGCTTAATGGTTTAGTGCTATCATTATCTACAGGTTCTTCATGGATGTTACTTTTTCTTTTACCGAGTCCAAGAGCACGACCAAAAGAATCAACGCATGATGATGAATGCAAGTACTCCATGTGTTTTTTCAAAATACTTCTGGCTGATGTAGTAAAAGGACACATCTTACATACATAGGTAGCTGATTTTTTGGATGATCCTGTAGCAGAGTCTTTCCCGAAAGACTTTTTTTGCGTTTTTCTCTGGGCTGCATCAGAACTGACAATAGGGCATTTTACCACTGCTCCATGGGCAATGCCTCGATGGCATTCCAATTCATTTTCTGTCACTGCCATGAAGTTACACTCTTCACAGCAGTAGTACCTTTTATCTTTTTCATGGGTCTTAGCATGTTGCACAAATGTTTTAGGGCAATTGGTACCAAATACACACTGAGGGCACTGTAATCGTGCACTTCTTCCTTCATCCTGAAGTTCTTTCAACTCACGAATTTCCTCCATCAACTTCTGTCTTCTCTCTTGATGAATAATCATATGCTTTAGAAGTGAGTTACGATCTCGAAATGTCCGCCCACATTCCCGACAAGCATATGGCCTTGGGACATTAAGATGGCGAAAGTGACTATTCCCATCTAAATGATACATCATATGCCTGTGGAGGTGCTTTTTCTCCCTAAAATTCACATTGCACTTTGTACAGGGGTAGAATGATGGCTCTTCGGTGCTGAAAGTAGTAGGTGACTCAGAATCACTTTCTTCACATTTTTTTTTTAAGGTACTTGAAAGAAAAGTGCTAGTATGAACAGGTGAACTGTCTTCTCCACACTTATCTGGATTATAAATTAGATGTTGAAAAGCATCCACAGATTCCAAGTCTTCATCAGTTGATTCAGGCTTCACTTTTGATAATGCATATTTCTGTGAGTCTATTGCTTGTAGTTCTTCATTCTGTTCCAAAAAGTCTACTTCTAGCATCTTTGACTTAGTGGGTACACAATTAGAATCACTAAAGCAATCCTCAGTATAACGAGTTATCTTGCTTACATCCATTTTTCGCTTTCTCTTTTTTTCTAGACCTACTTTAGAATGAACTGGAGTTTTATCCACTGTCTCTTCATTAGTCATAAGAAACTGAATGAACTCTTTTTGGGGGTCCCAGTTTGTATCATTTTCTGACCTAAATTCATCTGTACCTGAGGAAATACCTGTTAATGTATTGACACAATCATCTTTTACCAATAAATCTTCACTATCCTCACCCACCTCTACTTGATTTATTAAAGTGCTATCTGACTTTATACTACTCCCTACTGAATTCTGAATGTCACAACCACCTGAAGCAGAGGTAGGTAGTTTTTTAATGGAATGGGTTGGATTCTTAGCATGTGCTACATCTGATAACAAAAACAAAACTTGGTGTTGACTTGCTTTCTGTGGTGTAGACAGCTGGAGATCAGCTGCCACCTTCGAAGTTGAACAAGATTCTGTTGTTGGCTGATCCACAGGCTGTCCAGTGGTTAATGAAACACTGCCTTTATTCATATTGGAAGTCTTAGTTATGGAGGAGTGTGAAACTGGTCCATTAACAGCAGCTCCTTTAGGCAAGATAAAGTTTTCACCAGAAACAGTAGGAGCACCAGCATGTATAAATAGAGTAGACTGGCCTCCACTTAAGGCTTTTTCTGATTTGTCCTTTGACAGTTCTTCAGGCAGAGTGAACGTATTGTTATTCTGAAATGTCTGACAATCTTTTGGTTTATGAACTCCACTCTCTTTGTCTGAGATAAAATTGTTGTCATCTAGGAGTTCTTCTTTAGCACCAGTAATATCGGTGTTTATCTTCAAATCATCCATATTGTTGGCAAGCCATTTAACACATTTAGTCTAGAAAATGGAAAAAAAGAATTTAGATTTGCATGAAAGAAAAAAAATACTAGTAGAATGTATGGAGAGTTGAAAGGACATATTTTTATTAGTTTAATTATATTCTTCATATATTGAGATCCTAATAATATCCTAAGAATAAAGAAACACTTTAAAAATTGAAAGACTTTAAAAGTGTCTCAAAGATTAATTTTTCTTTGTGCTTGGCAACAACCACCCAATACCATATATATACAAAATCTCTAGGAGAAAACAACATAAACACATACACAAAAACACAAAAGATATAAATAAATATGCTATAGATGAAGAAAAACTTTAAAATCTCATATATAAGTTGCTAATAAAAAGAAAAGAAAGTTATCTTACTTAAGTAGATTTATTAGGGACACTCTATACTAGAGAATGTAAATTGTTAAACACTGCAAAGAAGTAAATTTTGTCACTTAAAAGTTCATTCCTAGAAGAAGGTAAAAAAACATCATTCAGTAAAGAAACTTACTTGGTAACAAGATCCATGGCTAATGTATGTAACAATTTTTTTATTTTTAAAAAATTTAAGACTGCTCTGCTCTCAGTATTTCACATTCTCCTAAAATTCTACTAATTAAAAAAAATTTTTTTACAGGGTTTCATTCACTCCTTATGTAAATTACCCTTAATTCTAAATTAGGAAAGTTAAAATTAATAAAGTTTTACATAATTTTAAATTTTCATAACCTGGGCCCCCAAATTCTAGGCATTCCCTAAAGGCAGTTATCCCACTTATCATTTGACTGTGTACAGCAATGGCCTAAAACTTTTTACTCTGAAACATTAAATATATTACAATTTTAGGTTACTTCATATTAAAATGTAGATTAAAAATTTTTCTAGGCACTTTTGACAATATATTTAATCTTTATGAGAAGACAGAGTATTTTATTAAAAGACTGCTGAAAGTCTGGGAGACATACATACATACCATGACTATAATTATTGCCCTTATTATATTAGGAGTTTCCTTACACTTGCTCTTACCCTGCTCTTAGAAATGGCCACATTATACAGGAATTGTCTGTTTCTTTAAAAGAATGTAAGCTCTTGGAAGGCAGGGACTATGACCTAGTGATCTTCCTATCTCTGAAAACACAGCACTTGGAATAGGTGCTTAGGGAATGTTTGTTGAATCAAGGAATGAAGTGTTGAATGAATAAAAACACAACTGCAAAATCAGAGCAAAAGCTCATAAAGTATAGGAAGAAAAACAGTTTTCTTCCTATGAAATCTGAATTGCCTAGTCAAATAATGCAAATTCCATCATGGTCCTGATCTCTTGACTCACCTATTGTAGCAAGGCCTTCAAAATATCCAATAATCCTCAAGTACAATGTAAAGTACCCACTATTTGGCAACCCTAGCTATTAACTATTTGAAGTACTGCCATAAAGTTCCATATTCTTATCCTTTTGTACAGAGTAGTAAGTACAGTTCATTCATTCTCCAAATATTTATTGAGCCCTTATTATGTGCCAAGCACTGCTCTAGTCTTAAGGATACATTTGTAAACAAGAAAGACTAGGTTCCTACTCCCAGATAAAGAATAAAGCCTTCCATTTTTATAGTATTTTACATTTGTATAATGAGTAATACCATTTTAGGAAAGCAGGAACTTAAAATCCAATAATTAGAAATTAAACATTTTCAATAAAGTCTATTGTTTCCAGTATCTTCTAGGTTACCACTTACATGCTTTGGAAAACATTAGGTCTAATTCAAGAATAAAAAAATTGTTTCAAATTACTTTATTTCACAACCTGGTACAACTACTTATAAATATGACCTTATCTTATGAACAGATGTATTCTTTAATACAACACACATTGTAAGTATCTTTCTTTGGCATTATTATTTACACCAACAATCATTTTTCCATCCCTCACAGGTCTTAGAATTCTGTTCTGAGACTGGCAAACTTCCAAATTAATAAAAATAGACTTCCAATAAGATCATATTCTATGATATCACCCCAAAATGGTGCTAATGCAGCACCCAGCAGGAGTCTCTTCATCACATACACATAAGTTAAAAATGGGCAGCACATAAACGTGTTAGGAAAGAGTATGCAAATGTCAGTGAAAAGAAAAGCAATCACTGATGATATATACTATTATTCATTCCTGATATTTCTCATTAAATTTGGTATAAAAAGTTAAATGCCCAAATAGGAACAATCTTACATAAATCTGAAATAGATGACAGAATTTTTAAAAAACTAGACTGAAAGAACTTACTTTTTGTTCCTACTCATTATAATTACAGAGGTAGACAAATATATGCTCAGTCTATTTGAAAGCCTATATTAGCTTTTCTCAACAGGAAGCAACGTTGCTAACGAAGTGGTAAATTCAGTGTTAATGAGTGGCTTCACTGTTACCACCTCAGAGGTAAAACCTTCCATGTTCCATGTTCTACCCATCTGTTCTGGTGTTAGAGGTTCAGAGATAGAACAGACGCTTCCCATTTAAAGCTACTTCACTGGTAACCCCTGAACAGCAGGGTGACAAACTATGATCATGTCGGCTTGGAGACTGCATCCTCATTACCAGAATGGCTTTATAAGAGCCTTGCGTAAGTTCACATTCTGAAGATACCAAACTGTTTGCTCAAAACCATAAAAATATATGTACATAACAGATCTAAAAAACACATCTAGCAAAAAGAAAAACAACAGATCAAATTAAATATTTAATAAAATAAAATGAGGTATTTAACAATCAAAGTTTTCCTTCACACCTACATAATGAAATATGCCTTACTTGCCCCAAAACTAATGATTACCTCTACTCAAAAACAGAGAAGTTACTCTTTTTCAGAATTTTTTATTATTAGCACATGAATATTAAAAATCTACTCTATCAGTTAACTCACTAAGCTGGTATTTTAACAACAATGAAAAATTTTCCTGTTTTAATTTTCAGAATATATTTTAACTGAAAAATATTTAAAATATATTTTAATAGTATTCAAGACTCATAGCTGTTGCAACGAGATAAAATGCAGAACAATGGATCATCAAAAGATGTTGCACTGAATAACGGATTTAGAATTTTGACATTAAAAATTATTCCCCTACATTCAGGGCCGATTATTTGGCATCCAGGCAAGAAAGAATTGGACCTGTAAGCTAATTTTGCACTGTCTCATATAGTGTTTCCAATTATCTTTATATAGTCAAATATACATAACAGAGTCACCAACACCACTTTATATTAATGTAACTAAGTGGGGGACATATTTGAAGGTAGGTATTATTCATTAAGTTTAAAAGAGGAAAACTAATAAATCAGCAAACAAGCTAATGTCATATTGTTTGGAACCTCTAAATTTCAATGAATTTGCTGTATCAATTAGGATCTTTTAATAAAATGTTTAGACACTTTCACTATGTCCTTCATGTAATCATACAACCAAAGAATTTTTCTTTAACTGAATTTTAAAATGTTCTTTTAGAAAATTCACACACTTTATAAAAAGCTGCAAATGGAATTTTAAATCTACATAAAACATATTTCACTTTCTAAAAAATCATAATGAGTTCTACAGCTGTAACTGCCTGTAGTTATATATTGTGAGCATTAAAAAAAAAAAAAGGTACAAAGGTCAGATCTGTCTTCAAGATGACAGATCATCACTTATATGCCTGAAGCTAGACTTATTGTCTCAGAAATCTCAAACATCAGTATTTTTGCAAACTATCAGCACTTGCTATAACACCCTCACTACACTACATCTTGAGGTTACTAGAGAAGAAATGAGGTGATAATTGCATATTAACATAATTATTCTGTAATCCCTCTGAGCAAGCTTCCTAGGTCACTCAGTAATTCATATTATATACAATCTTCCTGTCATAAAATCTATGCTGTCCACTTTCTGTTCATGAATAATTCCTTTTTTGATAGAAAATTAACTTAATTTCATTCTTTTATGTACATTATTAATTGTATTTATTGCAAGTAGGTTAATATTTTGTGGGTACTTATTACATAATGCCACCTTTGTCATGCAGTATAATTTCACACAAAAATATAGTACAGTTTGCCCTTGCTCTAATAGTTCAGGAATAACTATATTACACAGCTGTAAGTAAGTGATAATGTTGCCCACTAACTGAGTTATAGTTAGGATTTGTCAAATTTTCACAAACCTTATGTCCATTTACATTATCCCTGAGAACACATGACAACTTCAGTTAGTGATATATGCAAGTGGGTTCAGAAGAGAAAGTCATTCACAACTGTTATTCTAATTGCAAAACAAATCTTAATTAACTGAAATACTATATCTGAGATTATTGTAGTATTTAGGCCTATTTATATTATACACAACATACAAACATATACCTGTCTCATCTAGTTTACAATGCAAGCGAAGAAGAGCACAATGTACATCCATATCATCCAGGTACGTCCTTACTCTGGATGTCATATTGAGAGGAAACACAAAAAAATACAGAACATTCCTAAGAGTTCTAGCATGCCACATAATGAAATAAAGAGAAAACTTGGTATGTTTAGCCTAACAATTAGTAAATATAATTAACAATCTTCAAATGTTTGAAGCCTTAAAGAAGGAAGATTACATAATCAATGTGTTTGCAAAGGGTTGTCTTATACAACAGTGAATTGAATGGCTCAGCACGCTGAACTATATTTCAGGAACCATGGAGAAGGGAATATGGCATTGGAGATTGGATAAAATAGTTTTTAAGGTCCTTCCTCATATGCAGTATATATGTTTAATGTTTGCTTATTACATTAAAAACATTTTCTATTATTTGAAATAATAAGCTAAAAACAGAACTTCGGGGCAAGAAGGGAGGTAAAAAAAAATAAGAAAAAAGTTAGGAGGCACAAAGTCTAGATCCATAAATTATACCAAGTAGGAATTATAGAAGAAGAAACTAGGGGAAGGGAGAAGAGGACACAATAGAAAAATTTTTCAGAGCTCAAGAAACA